AAACTACAGACTCATATCCTTTATGAACACTGATGTTAAAATCCTTAACAAAATACTAACTGAATCCAAAAACATATCAAAAAGATAATCCACCATGATCAAGTGGGTTTCATACCAAGAATGCAGGGCTGGCTTAACATGCGCAAGTCAATAAATGTGATACACCACATAAACAGAATGAAAAACAAAAATTGTATGATCATCTCAATCGATGCAGAAAAAGCATTCAACAAAATACAGCATTCCTTTATGATTAAAACTGTCAGCTAAATCAACATACAAGGGACACACCTTAATGTAATAAAAGCCATCTATGACAAACCCACAACCAACATAATACTGGCTGGGGAAAAATTGAAAGCATTCCCTCTGAGAATGGGAACAAGACATGGATGTCCACTCTCACCACTCCTTTTCAATACAGTACTGGAAGTCCTAGCCAGAGCAATCAGACAAGAAATAAAGGGCATCTGAATTGGTAAAGAGGAAGTCAAACTGTCCCTGTTTGCTGTTGAGATGATCGCTTACCTTGAAAACCCTAAGGACTCCTCCAGAAAGCCCTCAGAACTGATACAAGAATTCAGCAGTTTCTGGATACAAGATTAATAATGTACACAAATCAGCAGCTCTTCTATACACCAAGAGCGACCAAGTGGAGAATCAAATCAAGAACTTAACCCCTTTTACAACAACCATAAAAAAATAAAATAAAATACTTAGAAACATACCTAACAAAGGAGTCAAAAGACCCCTATACAAGGAAGACTAAAAAACACTCCTAAAAGAAATCATAGATGACACAAACAAATGGAAAAAACACATCCCATGCTCGTGGATGGGTAGAATCAATATTGTAAAGTTGACCATACTGCCAAAAGCAATCTACAAATTCAACACAATGCCCATCAAAATACCACCATCACTCTTCACAGAGTTAGAAAAATCAATTCTAAAATTCATACGGAACCAAAACAAAAGCCCACATAGCCAAAGCAAGACTAAGCAAAAAGAACAAATTTAAAGGCATTACACTACCCGACTTCAAACTACACTATAAGGGCATAGTCACCAAAACAGCATGGTACTACTGGTATATAATTGGGCACACAGACCAATGGAACAGAATAGAGAACCCAGAAATAAACCCAAATTCTTACAACCAACTGATCTTTGACAAAGCAAACAAAAACATAGAGCAGGGAAAGGACACTCTTTTCAACAAATGGTGCTGGGTTAACTGGCAAGCCACATGTAGGAGAATGAAAGTGGATCCTGTCGGTCTTCGTATACAAAAATCAACTCAAAAGGGATTAAGGACTTAAACCTAGGACCTGAAACTATAAAAACTCTAGAAGATAACACTGGAAAAACTCTTCTAGACATTGGCTTAGGCAAGGATTTCATGACCAAAAACCAAAAAGCAAATGCAATAAAAACAAAGATAAAAAGCTGGGACCTAATTAAACCAAAGAGTTTTTGCATGGCAAAAGGAACAGTCAGCAGAGTAAACAGACAACCCACACAGTGGGAGAAAATCTTCACAATCTACACACCTGACAAAAGACTAGTATCTAGAATCTACAATAAACTCAAATCAGTAAGAAACAAATGAACAATCCCATCAAAAAGTGGGCTAAAGACATGAAAAGACAATTCTCAAAAGAAGATATACAAATGGCCAACAAACATGAAAAAAATGCTCAATATCACTAATGATCAGGGAAATGCAAATCAAAACAACAATTCAGTATCACCTTACTCCTTCAAGAATGGCCACAATCAAAAAAATCCAAAAGCATTAGATGTTGGCGTGAATGCAGAGATCAGGGAACACTTCTACATTGCTGGTGGCAATGTAAACTAGTAGAGCCGCTACAGAAAACAGTGTGGAGATTCCTTAAATAAAAGTAGAATTACCATTTGATCCACCAATCCCACACTGGGTATCCACCCAGAGGAAAAGAAATCATTATTTGAAAAAGATAAGTACACCACATGTTTATAGCAGCACAACTCATAATTGCAAAATGCCTATCAATGAATGAGTGGATAAAGAATCATATATATATATATACACGTGTGTGTGTATTCCGTCACATATATATACACATATATGTGTATGTAGTAGTATAATCATGTACGTGTGTATATTCCATAATATGATGGAATATTACTCAGCCATAAAAAGGAATTAATTAACAGCATTTGCAATGACCTGGATCAGACTGCAGACTATTATTCCAAATGAAGTAACTCAGGAATGGAAAACCAAACATCGTATGGTCTCACTGACGTGTGGGAGCTAAGCTATGAGGACACAAAGACATAAGAATGATACAATGGGCTTTGGGGACTTGGAGGAAGAGTGGGAGGGTGGTGAGGGATAAAAGATAACATGTATGGTACAGTATATACTGCTAGGGTGATGGGTGCACCAGGATCTCCCAAATCACCACTAAAGAACTTACCCTTGTAACCAAATACCACCTGTACCCCAATAACTTATGGGGAAAAAAAGTTAAAAAGAAAATTAGTCTTAGGTATGCCAAAATCATAGGAGCCTGGCTGGCACTCAGTAGGTCCCACAGAGGTGGAAAGGTATAAATAAAGGGCATACACAATCTTAACACAGAGTCTAGAGCTATAACTTCTTAACATTTAAATTAATTAAAATGAAATAGAACTTTAAATTCCTCACTACCCAGTCTCAGGTGTTCAACAGCCTCATGTGAATAGGAACTAATGTACTGGACAACCTGAATACAGACTGTTTCCATCATCACAAAAACTTCTACAGGACAACACTGGTTTAGAGTTCAAATCTTAGCAACTCTTAATAAACACCTTTGTAGCACTGGCCTAAATAAACCTCATAGAGCCTCAATTGTGTTACTGTAAAATGCAGATACTAACAACCTTGCAGGATTTGGTTGAGAACTGAATGCAAACATAAATTTTTTAAAAACCTCTTCTCCACTCTCACTGCTTCACTAGCTTTTAAAAAAATAAAAATAAAGTTTAAAAACCCAAGTAAGCACTCAATTAAATGTTTAAAGAAAGCATTATAATATTGGTTACAGAGTATAACTTTAGACTCAACCAGCCTTACTGATTATAAAGAAATCCAAAAGCTGAAACTGAATTAAAATATAGTCGAGGGAAACAAGGGGACTTTTTCAGGTAAAGAAAATATCCTACATCTTAAAATGAAGATAGGTTGTACAAAAGTATCCATTTGTCAAAAATGACAGAACAAGGATGGGCGCAATGGCATACACCTGTAATCACAGCACTTTGGGAGGCCGAGGCGGGTAGATCACCTTAAGTCAGGAGTTCAAGACCACCTGGCCAACATGGTGAAATCCCATCTCTGCAAAAAATAAAAAATTAGCACACGCCTGTAATCCCAGCTACTTGAGAGGCTGAGGCAGGAGAATCACTTGAACCAGAGAGGCAGAGGTTGCAGTGAGCCAAGATCACGCCGTTGCTCTCCAGCCTGGACAACTTGAGCAAAACTCCATCTCAAAAACAAACAAACAAAAAAGATAATATATCTTTATTCTCTCTTTCCTAAAATTATTATTATTTTTTTTTTGGGGGGGGGGACAGTCTCACTCTGTCACCCAGGCTGGAGTGCAATGGCATAATATCGGCTCACTGCAGCCTCAATCACCCAGGCTCAAGCGATTTTCCCACCTCAGCCTCCCCAGTAGCTAGGACTCCAGGCATGCACCACCAAGCCTGGCTAATTTTTGTACTTTTTGTAGAGACGGGGTTTTACCATCTTGCCCAGGCTGGTCTCAAACTCCGAGGCTCAAGCAGTCTGCCCACCTTGGCCTCCCAGAGTGCTAGGATTACTGGCATGAGCTACCATGCCCAGCCTTAAAATTATTTTAGTTGGACCTTCCATCTGCAGACAATATGTTGTACTTTTGATACCATATGATTTTTTACAAACTACTACAAACATGAAAAATAATTCTAAGGATGACTTTTCTTCCTTCTTTTATTTACTTTTTAAAATACATTCATTTACTCCTACAACAAATAAAAATAAGACACATTAAAATAAGAATTAACAAATCAAGGCTATTTTACAGTCTCTTCATCTGAAGGGATCTTAAACATCATCTGATTCAACTAGTCACAAAGCTTATGTCTGATGCCAACGCACTGTTTAACTACAAATATGTGTTTGTTTGTTTATTTTTGAGAGAGTCTCATTCTGTCACCCAGGCTGGAGTGTAATGGTACAATCTTAGCTCACTGCAACTTCCGCCTCCCAGGTTCAAGCAATTCTCCTGCCTCAGCCTCCTGAGAACCTGGGATTACAAACGACCACCACCATGTCCAGCTAATTTTTTGTATTTTTAGTAGAGACGAAGTTTCGCCATGTTGGCCGGCCTGGTTTCAAACTCCTGATCTCAGGTGATCCACCTGCCTTGGCCTCTCAAAGTGCTGGGATTACAGGTGTGGGCCACCACAACTGATCTACAAAAATGTTTTTAGATATACTGATCCAAAATATCGCCACTAACTGGATAACGGATTCTAGCTCTGTAAGAGTTCAGTTTTCTTTTATTCAAGCTAAACATCTTTGCTCTTTCAGCTGTTCCTTATATGAAAATTTTAGCTTCTTTGGGTTGTTGTTTTTTTTTTTTGAGATGGAACCTAAGCTGGAGTGCAGTGGTATAATCTTGGCTCACTGCAACCTCCACCTGATTCAACTGATTCTCCTGCCTCAGCCTCCTGAGTACCTGTGATTGTGGGTGAACACCATCACGCTGGGCTAATTTTTGTATTTTCAGTAAAAATGGGGTTTTGCTATGGTCCAGGCTGGTCTCGCACTCCTGACGTTAGGTGATCTGCCTGCCTCAACTGCCCAAAATGCTGGGATTACAGGCATAAGCCACCATGCCCAGCCTCCTTTGACATTTTAGACCACTCTATGAAGTTGATAATAATATTGTTCCCATATTTCTGTATTTTGTTTTTATATTAAAAATATGGAGTATTTCATGATTTACATGTCATCCTTGTGCAGGGGCCATGCTAATAATCTTCTCTGTATTATTCCAATTTTAGTATATGTGCTGCCAAATAAATCACTCTCTATTTTTAAAAACTATATAATAGAGTTTCAAAAAAAACAAACTGGGGAACTGAAATGGAATTACTAAATTTTTATTTTTCCAAATAAGCCATTAAAAAATTTTTGGCATTTATTATTTCACTAAGAAAAGCATCTTAAAATTAAAAAGGTAAGAAATACATAGTCTCAGAATAAAACAAGAAAGATCTGTAAGAATTTTATATCAATTTTTTTTTCTCTTTACAATCACGATGTATTAGGATACACCAATATTTTTTGCGGAGTACAAGCATTAGGGTGTCATCGGTCTGCACTTCTGTTTTGAACCCAGAAGTGAAAATCACAGATATGGTCTTATTAGAAAGCAGAATTGAGTGTAACAATCACCATCTGCTTTCTGAATACTATACTCTTGTTAATGTATCATAAAATGTGCCAGATCTTAACTTCATTTATTTTCTAGTATGAAATTATGTCACTTGAAGAAAGAACATTAAAGGGGCATTTCAGATTCCTGCTTAATATGAGTAGAAATCTGCAAAACAAGGATTATACACATGATTGAGAGACAGCTATAAAACAAAACTTCATAATTAGTTCCATGACAAATACTTCCAAGAGAGTTTGAAGAAAGAACAATAGGGTGGTTATGGGGACACAGAAACAGAAGTATAATCAATTATCCAATTACATAAAACATGAATTGCAAATTATTTTAAAGCAAACAAATATTTTCAAGTATAACACATAAAAAACACGGATTAAGTCCCTAGAGGTTAACAGCCATCCTCTAATTTCTAAACACTCCGTAAATCCTCATAATAACCATACAGGCTCAAAATGCACATTGTCAATTGCAGGAAAAAAAAAATACACGCCAAGAAAGAGAGCAAATAAACTCATCCATGGCTAACCCCACAGCATTATAAGGAGATGAAACAACTAAAAACTCCAATTCACATGTTAAGAGCATAAACATCCAAGACCAGAAACCTGAATGGGAACCATCCAGAAAGGCAACACAGCAGAGTCTTAGGGGTGAGTGAATTACAAGTAATATGACCTAGGATTTACCCTCAGGAGAGGGACCCATCTGAGAGAAAGTACTGACAGTTCATCTGAGACACGACAGAGCAATGGCTACTGGGAAGTCAAAAAGAATACACTGGGCCGGGCGCGGTGGCTCAAGCCTGTAATCCCAGCACTTTGGGAGGCCGAGGCGGGTGGATCACGAGGTCAACAGATCGAGACCATCCTGGTCAACATGGTGAAACCCCGTCTCTACTAAAAATTACAAAAAATTAGCTGGGCACGGTGGCGCGTGCCTGTAGTCCCAGCTACTCGGGAGGCTGAGGCAGGAGAATTGCCTGAACCCAGGGGGCCGGAGGTTGCGGTGAGCTGAGATTGCGCCATTGCACTCCAGCCTGGGTAACAAGAGCGAAACTCCGTCTCAAAAAAAAAAAAAAAAAAGAATACACTTAGAAAGTATGTAAGATCAAAGGTGACAGTTTTAGCAAGGCAGTTTCTGGGAGAGAGGAGGTGTCCTTTGGAGGGTTTATGATAAAGGGAAAAAAGGAAGTGATCAGAGGATAAACGGCCTACTAAAACAAAATAGAACTATGGTGGGGGAGGAGGGTGTTAATTTATGTTTAAAACTACATTTCACAGTGGCAACAAATCAGAGTGCTCTTGAACTAAGAATCTGAGAAGGCCACCCCAACCCCATCACAAAATAAGATACAATATTGTTGGTCCAGTAAAATCCAACACAAACAATCTGAACAGAAAAAAGGACTCAGCATTCATATCAAATTACTTATAAGGAATAAAAAGTACTTGGGCACAGCCAGGTACAGTGGCTCATGCCTGTAATTCCAGCACTTTGGGAGGCTGTGGTGGGCGGATCACAAAGTCAGGAGTTCGAGAACAGCCTGGCCAACAGGATGAAACACCATCTCCACTAAAAGTACAAAAATTAGCCAGGTATGGCGGTGCGCACCTATAGTCTCAGCTACTTGGGAGGCTGAGGCAGGAGAATCGCTTGAACCCGGGAGGCAGAGGTTGCAGTGAGCCAAGACCGTGCCACTGCACTCCAGCCTAGGTGACAGAACAAGACTCCATCTTAAAAAAAAAACTTTGCCAGGCAGAAATACACCAAAAACCCTAACCATATAGAGGAAAGATGTAATACAAAACTCCATCACAAGTGCAGTAATTAATTAACAAATGCAGACATAAAAGAACACCTCAAATAAAAAACTCAAAATTTCAAACAGAGTAGACAAATAACAGGAACTTGCAAAACACAAACAAACTGAACTTAAATGAAGACTAAATTACAGAAGATGTCCTAAAGAAAACAGATATGCCCTAAAGAGATAGAAAATAGGAATGCTCTTATGTAAATGAAAAAGAAAGAAAAGTGAAAAGAATCAAAGAAAAGTCATACATATAGAAGAAAGAGGACAGGTGCGGTGGCTCACACCTGTAATCCCAGAACTTTGGGAGGCCAAGGCAGGCAGCTCACTTGAAGTCAGGAGTTCAAGACCAGCCTGACCACATGGTGAAACCCTGTCCCTACTAAAAATACAAAAATTAACCAAACATGGTGGCACATGCTTGTAATCCCAGCTACTTGGGAGGCTGAGGCACGAGAACCACTTGAAACTGGAGGTGGAGGTTGTAGTGAGCTGAGATTGCACCACTCCCCTCCAACCTGGGAGACAGAGCGAGACTCCTCACAAAAAAAAAAAGAAGAGAGGCAAATAAGATCCAACTGTCAAAGATCTGAAGAATGAAACAGAACAAAACTATCAATACTCAAGGCTGTAACTCAAGAAAGTTTCTTGGATGTTTAAGAAAAAAACCAAGTCATATACTAAGAAATCAGGTTGGCATCAGCAAGACAAGCAAGATAAAAGCAGGATAATATTTTCAAGAAAGTTAAGAGGATATGAATCCTTTTTTTTTTTGAGACGGAGTTTCGCTCTTGTTACCCAGGCTGGAGTGCAATGGCGCAATCTCGGCTCACCACAACCTCCGCCTCCTGGGTCCAGGCAATTCTCCTGCCTCAGCCTCCTGAGTAGCTGGGATTACAGGCACGCGCCACTGTGCCCAGCTAATTTTTTTGTATTTTTAGTAGAGACAGGGTTTTACCATGTTGACCAGGATGGTCTCGATCTCTCAACCTCGTGATCCACCCGCCTCGGGAATCAAATATTTTATATCTAGCCAAGCTGTCCTTCAAATATCAAGGATACAAGAAACAATTTAAACATGTAAAAATTTAAGAAATAGTACCACAAGCATCCCTGAGGAAGCTACTAGATGATGAGCTTTATCCAACCAAAAAGTGACTGAGAACTTCAAGAAAAGATCTGATCACGAGAGGTCAGGAGTTCGAAACGAGACTGGCTGACATGGTGAAACCCCATCTCCTCTAAAAATACCAAAAAAAAAAAAATTAGCCAGACATGTTAGTGCACACCTATAGTCATAACTATTCAGGAGGGTGAGGCAGGAGAATCACTTGAACCCAGGAGGCAGAGGTTGCAGTGAGCTGAGATTGCACCATTGCACTCCAGCCTGGGCGACAGAGTGAGACTCTGATTAAAAAAAAAAAAATTAAACTCAATCTGGACTGAAAAAAATAAAATCTAATGATACTGTAGTACTAAATTTAAAACAAAGGTACTGATGAGGAAGAATAGGATGTAAAATGGCATAATCTCACGAAGTAAATATAACTTCAAAAAAATCATAGGAAAAGAGACAGGAAAAAAAACTGGAATAAGAGCTCATACATAAGAAAATGAAACTAAATGGCTCTAATTTAAAGCTGATAAACCAAACAGAAGAAACCTAAATATTTTTTAAAAGATTAAGAGGATTTTTAAAGGTATAATAAAAAGGTAACTAACAAAAATATAAACTCTCTTAAGTAAAAAAAAAATTAAACAAATAAAGACATCAAACAGAATACAAGACCCAGAATAAGTATAACATAATCCAAAGATGAGATCGTTCAGTGGAAAAGCTAAAGTTTAAAATAGACTACATCTACGAAAGAACAAGCACTAATAATACATGTGCTTTACCGTTTGCTGTGCACTTATATACTTATCTCTAGGTAGTGAGATTAGAGAAGTTTTCCTTTTCTCTTTTACTCCGATTTGCCAACTGAATTTTGTTTTGTTTTTTAATGATGTCTCACTCTGTCACTCAGGCTGGAGTGAAGTGGCATAAACACTGTTCTCTGAAGCCTGGACCTCCCAGGCTCAACCAATTCCCCACCTCAGCCTCCCGAGTAGCTGGGATTACAGGTGTGCACCACCATGCCTGCCTAATTTTTGGATTTTTGTACAGATGTGGTTTAATCATGCTGCCCATGCTGGCCTAAAACTCCTGGGCTCAAAAGATCCTACCACTTCTGCCTCCCGAAGTACAGAGATTACATGCGTGAGCCATCATGCCTGGCCTATTTCCTGGGTTTTAAAATGTTACTTAGTCTCCCCACAGAAATCTTTAGGATAAATTAGCCTCTATCAAAACCTTCCCTAAACTGGGTGAGGTGGCTCATGCCTGTAATCTCAGCACTTTGGGAGGCTGTGGTCAAGAGATCAAGATCATCCTGGCCAACATGGTGAAATTCCACCTCTACTAAAAATACAAATATTAGCTGGGCATGTTGGTGCTCACCTGTAGTCCCAGCTACTCGGAAGGCGGAAGCAGTGTAATTGCTTAAACCTGAGAGGTGGAGGTCACAGCCGAGTTTATGCCACTGCACTCCAGCATGGCAACACAGGGAGACTCCATCTCAAAAACAAAACAAAATAAAGCTTCCCTAACAAAGAAATAGTTGGAAGATGCTTAAGTCTCCTTGGTTTTCATTTAGTGGTAGTGACAACCAGAGACCCCAAAGAATGTGGCACTATCTAAGGTACTAGATGCAAGATCAGGGCTCTTAGTAAACACCCATACTCCAGAATTAAGAACTACTCAAACACAGGCTATATGA